AAGGTAGTGACGACGAAGAGGCACTTGCAAGCCACTCCGAATAAGATGAATCTTATCCCGGTTCTGCTGATCACGATGATCTGTCTTCCAACTGCAAGTCTTCTTCACGCGCGTGGCACAGAGCTCTGCCGAGCATCACTCGCGATGACAATCGACATACCAGACAGGAAGCCCGTCTGCAGAGCGAACAGCGCGTCGCCTCAGGACAACTCGATTCGCTCTTATTCGCTCTTCATCCCCGGAATGGAAAGCCGCAACCGTCGGTGAGAGTCGGGTTGCCATGAAGCTCATACACTCCCATGACGACTGCGCAAAAGAAAGTCGACTCCTGAGCATCAGGACGGAGCCGTCATTTTGAAGCGACAATGTGCATCTGCGGTCTTGGACAAGGAGCAAGTGCGGAGCGGCCAGGGTGCTCCCTCCAGTTCTCCGACGTGTTGAGGATCCGTGCCTTCCAAGTAATTTCTATACCGGAGAACCGGAACTGGACCTTTCCTATCCCTGTTTTGCACCTGCAGGATGGTGCCCAAATGCCGGGTAGGCTCCCAGGCCTGGCAGGCTCTGCAACGGCAACTGCTCCACTGCTGTGCTCTGGCATCCACCACATGCAAGCTCCCACTCAGACTGCGCGCTCTCCTGATTTCTCAAACAATCTTGCTTCGACGGGTGGCTTGACACACCCGCGCGGCTGCGAGTATGGTGGCACCACCCAGAACCTTCATAGGGCGCTGTCACTGGGTCCGACAATCGGGTTGCGACCCTTTCAATCTGCCAGAAGATGACTGGGTGGTGGGCCAACATGCCAGCCAACACTGCCATGTCGCTGCCTGCTGTAAGTTTACTGCCGGCAGCAAGGTGGCTCAAGCTATAGCAGAAGTGCCACTGAAAACATCAAGCAATGCAGCAAGTCACAATTGTCATAGACAGTGCTCACGACCTCGGGTGGCGCAGGCACGGTTGCCGACATGTGCACTTGGACTCTAGCTACCTCGCCGAAAGCACAGCCTAAGCGCTCATGTCTCTGGAAGGGATTTGAGAATGGGCTAAACGTCTCAGCAAGGTGCAGTAGGACCGAAGAGGATCAGCATGACAATGTTCGACGTGACGAAGGTCTCCTCCTGGCACCCAGAGAGTGTCAATGTCTCTCCAGCCCCAAGAATGTGTTGCGAATCTCTCGCTGCCTCCTCTTCGGTTGTCTTAAGCCGGATTCTGCGGGCTGAAGATTCTCTCAACACCCTGCCAAGAACGGTGTGAACGACCGATGCAAGGGAGTCTGCTCCGCCCTGTGCCGTGCTTGCCTTTCGACGCTGCGAAGTGGTTGCTGCAGAAGCTCTCCCAGAACCGCAAGCACGGCCCCTGCCACGAACGAGCTTGCAAGATTGAGGTTGTACGGAATTTATGTCAAGGCGATGAATGCAACAATACAACACAAAACCGATCCAGGCCTGCACATGTACCAAATGTTAGAGCTGCTACAAGGCCAACAAGTCCTCCCTCCGAACTAACCTCGAAGCGTCTCACGGTCAGCAGCTGCAGGATGTTCGAGGCTCAAACGGTTTTGTCACTCTGCCGAGGAAGAGGCATAGGTTGACCAAACGACCATCAGCCACAGCGAAACTTCGCAAAAGCTGCGAAGAGTGTCTGACCTCAGGCTACAAGCGGAGACGTGCTGTGAAGGTGATGCAAAACCTGTCGCAGTAGAGGACGACAACAACAACGACGACGACGACCATGATGACGACAACGACAACAACCACAATCATTTCTAAAATCACAACGACCACAACAAGAACCACCACCACAACCACCCGATTTACAGTAGCACCGAATACTGCTGGCAGTGCACCCGAGCAGCCTTGCTTTAACACAGCATGCGTCTTCAAAGTCATCCGACATTCCCAGTACCAGCTCTTATCAACACACAAGTATCAGTAGGACTTACAGTGCATCCGATTCGACAACCAGGGCGACCAGATCAACAGGAGTTCGGGTCAGGCTGGACACGCAAAAGCCCAGAGGTTCCCGGACACGACACAGACTTCAGCAGTGTGGGACCGCAATGGCCCACGAACTTGCAAAGAGTCACCGATGTCGAGCCATGAAGTGTGGTCCGCGAACAGCAGACTGGTTCGAAACCGGTGACCGACTGAATGATACCTGCTGCGGTTTTGAGAAACCACGATCAATGCTTTGCGGCAAGATGCCTGGACACTCAATCTCTGTTGTATAGGTCAGTCATCAGCGTGCAGCGTTTTCCCAAATCAAGAAGTCCCTCAAATGGGCCCCAAAGTCAGATGTGCAAGGCTTTGAAGGTCTCCAGCACGCTGAGATCTGTTGACGGTTGACAACCAAGGTGAACCTCTGTGTCAGACTTCAGTGATTTTTGCACTTGGGCCCTCACAAACTGGTGCCAGGGCTTGCATTCCACAGAGATACCTCAAGCCTAGCAGATCTGCTCCTGCCGCTTGTTGGCCTCACTGAATTGCCCTGAAGGATCCACCGCCCACAAGCCCCACAGATTCCCACGGCTGCATCCCTTTCGTGCGGTGTGTGAGGCGGATACAGCACATTGGCAAAATCTTCGGATGCTGCTCCCTGCCTTCTGCCCCTGCAATCCCTGCCGTGCTCCTGCCCTGCCCTGCCCCTGCCTCCTGCCCCACCCCTGCCCCTGCCCCTGCGCCCTGCCCCTGCGCCCTGCCCCTTGCCTGCCCCTGTCCCCCTGCCCCTGCCCCTGCCCCTG